TTTTGTTTGTATACACTGGAAGTCTTTTTTCACTCACGCATTGTTTGTGCTGTTCTGATTGTTGAATGCGTTTTGTAAGTTTTGTTTGTTTTGCCTTGTTTACTCATCGTTGTGTTTGTTATTGTTTGCACTTTTGTCCAATACGTGAGCGTCATGTATAAAAATGTTACAGTGACGCACAGTGGGACGTCCCCATATAAGCTGCGGCCAAAAGTGGTACTAGAAATAAGCGCTGTTCGGCACTTAGGAATGAAGAAATGTGGAAAATGCTAAAATTCAACGCGCAACCACGCCCACAGCTCTTGTGGGCGAAAATCTGCTCGTTTAAGCCAGAATTCTACAGCTTGGAAGATAATAAAGTATTTCTTATTACAGCGCCCACCTTTTACACAAGTTTTTTTGGCTCCAAGCACTAAATTTTATGTACTTTGGAGAAAATGAACAGGCACATTTATTTTATTTCTAACGAAGTTCCAATTTTTTTCAATTTAAAAATAACAAAATGAAAACATTTAAAATACCTGCATACTAAATTATGTGTGCACGATACACTTAAACTTTCAATTTAACTTACATTTTATAAGACAAAAGCTGGGCTAAGGCCATCGAAAACGGATCTCGTCCAGAGAAGCGTCCATTTTTGTCTGAATGTTGAATGTGATTAATAGATTGGCGAGTCATTAATATCTACATCGTCTACAATTCCCATTTTATATTGCATATTATTTATTTTATGTACACACCAGAGTCTTTCACTTCAGCTCTACAATAAAAATGCAATAAATTTTACAGGAGGTGTGTCTGAACTGCTGAACTCATAGTTCCTCGCTGCTGGAACTATTTGAGTTATGACACGCATGTTTAATGTTTAATTGTCCTAAGTATAATTTAGCTCGCTTCCTAGGTCAATTTTAAATATCACTTTTTAAAGTAAGCACTCGAAAAATTTTATACTCACAAAATTATGTAGAATTTCAAAGTAAACTATTTTATACATTTGAAAAGATTTATAAGAATTTAAAGCAATGCTTTACCACAGATATATTCAAAAACTGCTCATCAATCAGATTGGCTTTTTATGTATGCGCACAAGTGGAAAAATTAATTCAAATTACTTGCGACAATGTCTAAATTTTTTTTTACAAATTTATTATTTCGCATTGTTCCTACTTTAAGCTCGGTCATGATTGCAAATATGAATTTTTATCAATTTTTTTTTTTTGTTTAGGTTAGCTGGATATTTTTCTATGTATCTGCGTAATTACTTTTTCAGAATTCGCTAACCCGTTTTTATTACTTTTGGCCGCTGTAGTTCCACTGTGTGACGCCCCGATTTATGCATTTACAAACAATTTCGAACATACATATGTACATAGGGTATATTTTTGTATAGTCTCGTAACTAGCAAATGGGAGCATTTAAACATTCAAAGTGTTTGAAAGAAATAGCATTTAATAGAGCGTTCATGTGACAAACAATATGAAAAGTATATTTCTTTTCATCCTTTCTATTGAGCTTTTCATTAAAAATTAAGAAGTTTTTTCATGCGTTCGTTCGCAAGTGCGCTGCTCCATTAGCCCCATTTTTTTACGTTATTTTCTCACCTGTTGTTTATTTAATAAATGTTTGAAAATCGTGCAAACTGCATACTGCAAACGTGACCACGCCTGATAACCACTGTAAAAAAAAACCACTAGGCACACAGGGGAAGAATAATTTTTGCAAAGTTAAGTTTTAATTCAACCACTACCAAAGTGTAATTGCTTGATGATCAAGTGAACGTCGTAGTTAGGCAAACATATAGCAAACAATTGGGTACTAAATTCTAAACTTTAAATCTATTGCATTCTTAAATGTAGATTGAAAAGAACCATTTATGCCAGGACTTTCATTTTGGCTCAAACCGTGCCATTTTAGGCCCTATTTTACTTCAAATGGCACATTATTATTCAACTCTTTAAAATCATTAATATTTGAAAAACTCTTTTTTTTAATTTTGCAACATAAATTTTCTACTTTCTACGGTTGATGCAATTGCTTTCTCTTGTTTTTTTGGTATTGTACCTTTATTTAGCAAAGTCTTTCCTACTTTATCGCTAAATGAATAGAAAAGATATAATCGTATTTTAATTTAAAAAAGTGCACCTTTTTTGGCAGTTTTATTTTTCTTTCTGGCATTTATTATACACAATATGGCACCTCATAGCTAAAGATAGTTAGCAGCCCTGCATTTATCCGTACATCAATCACTCAAATTTTCTATAATCGATTGTATTGACTTTAGGTCCCTACGCTCTATGTGACAACAGCAAGGCGCACGCCACAAATCGGAGGAGAAGCTCGGCCAAACACTTACATACATATGTGTAACAGGCAATCTATTATTATTATTATTATTGTATTGACTTCTCAATGACGATGTAAAAACCACCTGCGAAAATATTGCAATATTTAGATTAGAGGCATCCAAAGTTTATCTAGCTAAATCGATATCGATATCGATATATATACAATTTTGAAATCATTTATTGAAACTCCGAAACGCACAGTTTTATTATCGAACTTAGTCAAGTTATTGTCTTCTGTTGAGTTATAGGGTTTTATTTGGTGTTTTTGAAATTCGTTAAATTAGCGATATGTATCAAATTATCAAAATATAGCAACAAACTGGAATGTATGGGGTCTATTCCAAGTCCTTCCAAAGTACTTCAAAGGAAAATTTCAGCCGTTGTTGTAAAATTCACGCTATCATCATGTCCACTATGCTATTTTATCCTAAGAAATTAAAAAGAATTTTCTGTGGTTCTAGTTACTCACATTGTTCTAGTTGGCAACGTTTTTCTTGCTGCTGCTGTGCCGGTCATTTCATTAGCAACTGTTTACCAAATTACACGACGTTGAGTGACGCATCTGTGTGTAGAAGATTTTCAATTTTCAGACGCCGCCGCTACCATACCAGAGTGAAAGATAAGCGCAAGAGCTAAGCCAGCATGAAAGTGAAACATTTTATTATACTCACACTTTAAAGTTCAAGAAAAACAAACAAACATAACAGAACAGAACATAAACGGCAACAGTTTATGCTAAACTGATTGTAAGAGGTAGTGAAAATCGGATGAGAAATAAAACCGGAGGCTATGCGAGATCCTTGACGCTGCGGCGTGCGTGTCCTTCATACTTTTGTCAAACGAGTGAGCTTTATTCGATTGTACAGCCACCATTCAACGAGGGTCGAGGGCAACAACTAAGTTGCAGTTCAGTTAAAAATGTGAACCAAAAGCGGTACAGTGCATGCTTTCATTGTAAATATGTATGTATGTATATAGTTTTCTTATCTTTTTTTTCTATTTGCTGCATTGCGCTTTGCTCCCATTTCAACTTCCGCAGCAGAATGCAAGTACAAGTTCATATGTATAAAATATGTATGTACAAATATATTAAAGTGCTAGTGTGCTTATATGTATATACACCCATACATATACAAGTACATACATATTTATGCAACCTTAAAAAAAAACGTACTGTCATTTCGCCTTTAAATTTGCCCATTTCTGCACAAAGCTCAAAAGTGCTTTTAACTCGCAATGCAACCAGCAGCATAAATAGCAACGCAAGAAGCTTATGCACATATAGCGACGACAACAACTACACCACAATAACAATACGGAGCACTATGCAATATCAGTTATGTATGAAGAGTGAAAAGAATTTTTAACCCAAGCAAAAGCATTGTGTTATTCTGTATGTTGTTTACGTTGACTCATCCTTGGAAGGTCACTGCTAGCACAGCAGCACAGCACAGCAGAGAAGCGGAGGCCAGCCAGCCGCTGCTAAAGGAAATGCATTGTGACAAATAGTTGTGCTAAATGGGTGAGAGTGGAAGATCGCAAAGTGCCTTAAATGGGGTCATACTCGTCATATCTTGAAACACATAAATGTTGCAGTGAATTTATTGCAACGTAAATAAGAGTTGAATGGACAAAGAAGCGACTAGTATAAAGAGAATGTCTTAATAAATATTTGCAGCACGCACAGTCGTGCTATTTGACACGCAGAAATAGCACAAAGGGTCAAGGATATTGTGGACAATGGAAAAGTTTGCAATAGCAGGGTTTATGTGTCTGGTGAGAAAGAATGGTAATGTTGAGATAGGCACTGAGTGGTGTTGAATTTTAAACAAAATTCATTTTACGATTTAAAATACGATTAACTAGTGAAGGCACTGTACAGTTTGGACTAATCGAGAGTTATGCGCCAATTACAGTGTTGTGGAAATGTAAAATAAAATTTTAAAAATTAATAGATATGGGTAAACGAGAACAGTTTGATAAGTCAATGAGTTTTTAAATTAAAGATTTTTTATTACGGAAAAAACGTTTATTTCTTATTTATTGCAGAAATAAAAGAATTATCACGGAATCTCTCCAGAATTTTGCAAAATGAGAATTATTTTTTTAACATAAAAAAATATATTTTAAAAATTAAAAAAAAATCTAATTTTTGAAACAGTTTTTAATCAGAAAATATAACCAAGTGACCTCGTTTATTAAAAATAAAATAGCTTTAAAGAGCTTTTTAAGGTGACATTTTCAAACAAATTTTCGATTTATAGAGCATTTAAAAATTTCTATTGTTTATGAATTTAGGTGAAAGTGTTTAAAAAAAAACCTTCCGCACTTATTTTCAACAAAAAGAGTTTTTTAATGGAAAAAAAGTTTTGGTATATAATTTAAAAATTTTTTATTATAGATTTTATACACAGAATTTAATTTATTTACAGATCTTCAGCTTCTTCATAAACGTAGTATTTGTTTAAATTCTTTACAATGCCTCAAAAATAAAAATTAAAAATAATTTTTTAAATATTAAATATCTAGTCCTTCTAAAAATCGTTAGCACAAAGATTTTGTATTGATTCTCCTCTTTTTTCACATACTTTCATAATTTTACCTAAAAACACTGAATTTAATGCGGCAATTTTCGCCTTCTTTCAATTCCAGCCGGCCTCACAGATGGCGGACGTATCGGCTTCAGCGGCCACGACAGCAACAGCGGTTCCCTTGCAGCCTTCAATGTGCCATGTCCCACAGGATATTTTCGCTGCAACGACGGAAAATGCATAACATCGCTGTGGGTGTGCAACTATCAGAAAGATTGCGATGGTGGCGAAGATGAACAACAGTCGTGTCGTAAGTGTTTATTAACATGAATAAGTAAATGAAATTTAAAATTCAATTTTACGTGCGTAGAGTGGTTTTAGCTTAGTCTATTCTAAACTTAAAACTTCATTTTTTAACAAGAATGAGTTTTAACTTACGACTATGACTATGGGCCGCCCTTGAGTTTTGCTTTTTTTCGAATTTTTGATTTATAAGAATTCATGTACATACTTAAATAATTTCATCTACTTATTTCTCTTCAGCGCCACCTGAATGTGAGGCGGGACAAATCAGTTGCGGTCAATATGTCTTCAATAAGACCTACTGCATACCGCCGCATTTTCGTTGTGATATGACGGACGATTGCGAGGACAAGTCGGACGAAGCGCAGTGCAGTGAGTAGAAAATTTATTATATCACACAAAAAAATAGCTGAAATATGTGCATTTATAAAAAAGTTACTTTTTTACATAAAAAAAAAATTCATTTTGCATATTTATTTGCTTCAACCAAAACCATTTACGTTGGCAAATACAGCGAATTTTTTGTTTCGCTTTATTCTGCTTTGTGGAGAAACCCCTATTCGCTATTTACTATGCAAATGTGTATTTAAGTTATAGAACCAGCATAAATACTTTTCAATTTCGTTACTCTTTATGTAAATATCTGAAAAGAAAGTACGCAACAGCACCACTCCAGTTGCCAGTTTGCCATTCTTCTTTTCAAGTTTTTTTTGTTCGTTACTTCGCTTACGTGTACTTCACTTAACTGCAAAATACTTTCATGCATTGTTTATATTTTTATTTTACATTAATATTTCGCTTTTTATTATTTTTCTCGTGGCTCGTGTTATTGTTGTTTCTGCTGCTTCCACTGCTGATTGTTATGCCAAATTTCAACTTTTCCCAATTGCTCAACACCCTCTAGGCGCACAAAAGAGTCAGTCAGTGCATTGTGGCTCGTGGCGAACAATGAAGTTTGAAAACGAAAATGGCGCAAAGTTCTGAGACTTAGGCAGTTCTTTTGACTACATTCCAAAAGAGCACTTCACCTAAACAAAAGCCGCAATATCGTTTATAAGGCAGTTTTAGGAAGTAATATATAGCGCGCTGAATAGCGAAGAAGAAATTGTGATTCTATTAATTTTTCTGTTTGTTTCGCTAATTTTTGTCGCAAGTGTTTTTTTTTTAACTTGAAAACAATTTTAAATTTTTATAATTTTGATTTATGGCACAAATGGAATGCAGAAAACTTTAATTACGATTTTTATAGCATTTTATGTTATTTCTGATATGAAAAATCAACTCAAAGAATTTGGGAATGTCAATCCCGCACCTCTTGGAATACTCTCGATTGCCTATGGGAATATAAGTGAATAAGGTTACTGAAACGGAAAATTTTGATTAAGTTTAAGTAACAAATTAAATTCTACATTTTTAGAAAGAAGACTGGAAGGCTGATTATTCTCGAGAAATAAAAATTTAAATAGTCTCTTAATTACTCTACATTCAAAATTTATTGATAATTTTAAAAAGAGCACACAAAAGAGTTTTTCAAATGCAATAATTTCATCTCAAATGAAATTCAGAGCATTTTACTCCTACATATTTAAATTTTGGTTGTTCACACTTACCTGGTTATCAGGTTATCTGGTTAAAAATAATTATTCTGTAGTGTAGTTTATTGTTGTAAACTGGATATGAAATATAACCACATAACCAGATAACCTGATAACCAGGCAAGCGTAAACAACCACATTATTTTCGAGCTCAATCAAGTTAGCGGCGCTAAAATGAAAAAATGAAGAAAAAATTTGTTCGTATTATTGTGCTCATTGTGTGCTATTTTCGGCCACTTTTCGTTTTTTTTGTGCTCCGACAATTTGGTAAATAATTAGGACTTTGCTAAGTTAACCGTAACTTAGCAAAACATTCATTCAATGAAGTATTTTTACTACTTTTCTGGGCTTATTTTTTTGTGCTCTTTATGGGCTTTAAAAATATTGCCCGGTTAACATTGAAAAACCGTTTGACGCCACGCTAGCTAACCCACTTCTTAAACTTTGGTCGAACACGGATAAATAGTATTGAGGAATTACGTGCTATTTTTGGGCTTTTTAGAGTCACCTAAATAGTTATAGGAGCTCATCCAGTTTCCGAGATAATTAAGACTTTGCTGGGTTGACTGTAACTTAGCAAAACATCCATCCAGTGAAGACTTTTTACTGCTCATCTGGAATTATTATTTTGTGCTTTTTATGTGCTTTGCAAATCTTGCCCGTTAAACATTGAAAAATCGCTAAAAAAATATTGCACCGTAAACATTGAAAAATGCACTTCTTAAACTTTGGTCGAACACGGACAAATATTATTGAGGAATTACGTGCTATTTTTGTGCTTTTTAGAGTCACCAAAATAATTATAGGAGCTCATCCAGTTTCCGAGATAATTAAGACTTTGCTGGGTTGACTGTAACTTAGCAAAACATCCATCCAGTGAAGACTTTTTACTGCTTAATTGGGTTTATTATTTTGTGCTTTTTATGTGCTTTGCAAATATTGTTAAACATTGAAAAATCGCTAAAAATATTGCCCAGTAAACATTGAAAAATCGCTTCACGTCACGGTAGCCGACCAACTTTATAAATTTTGGTCGAACACAGATATATATTGCTGAGGAGTTAGGTGATATTTAGGGGCTTTTTAGGGCCGTCAAAATTATTTAAGGTGCTCAGTCAGTTTCCAGGATAATTAAGACTTCACTGGGTTAAATGTAACATAGCAAAACATCTATTATGTGAAGACTTTTTGTTTAACGTTTTAAGTTTATGGAAAACTGTCAAGTGTACTCATTGAGGTGTTTAATAAACTCAGAGTTTAATTTGACATTTGTTTGTTAACTTTTTCTTATTTACATTTAGCCTGTCCCCGTACTCCAGCATTTAGACAGAAATAGTCCGAAGTAGCCGTGGTGTAGAATACCAACCGTTTAGCCATAAAGAAATAAAAGAAAAATTAGCTAAATAGAACTTTCCATGCTGATTTCAACCATATGAAGATTATTTGGCGCAAATAAAAACTAAAGCCAGTAAAAAAGGTTCAAGTTTAACTTTTATATTTATAATATCTCGGAAACTATTTGACCGATCACAAACGTATTGATGCTAAACCAAAGTTTAAGAAGTGGGTTAGCTAGCGTGGCGTCAAACGGTTTTTCAATGTTAACCGGGCAATATTTTTAAAGCCCATAAAAAGCACAAAAAAATAAGCCCAGAAAAGTAGTAAAAATACTTCATTGAATGAATGTTTTGCTAAGTTACGTTTAACTTAGCAAAGTCCTAATTATTTACCAAATGGTCGGAGCACAAAAAAAACGAAAAGTGGCCGAAAATAGCACACAATGAGCACAATAATACGAACAATTTTTTTCTTCATTTTTTCATTTTAGCGCCGCTAACTTGATTGAGCTTTATTTTCGCCCAACATCAACTCAAATCATACAATAAAAGTTACGTATACGCCACCAGCCACGTGGAATGAGCATGCATACATACTTATTCGTGGGTTACGTATACGCCCTTTAGGCCCCCTGCAGTAAAATTTAGAGACAATCTGACAAAGCGCTAATTCCGTACTATATATCTGTGGTCATAAGCAATAATCGCCTCGGTCAAAAATCTGAATTCGAGAAAAAACGCTTTAAAGATTTGGATTGTAATGTATGTTAACTTTGTGGGGAAACCAAAATATTTTCATCTATAACTTTTTAAATGGCCTAGGTAACGAGATAGAAGTTTCACATACCATGGTATAGTAGTTGCAGAAAACTATAGCATATATAACTCAATTCTTTCTTAAGTCGACTTAGGCGGTTATTGTTTATGACCACAGATATATCAGAACTATCTCTGAACTAGTGCAAAACGGATGCAGAGCGGGACAGTTGAAACTTACGGTGTAAATGTGCAAATGCTAACCACTCGTACAATATGAAAGTAGCTCAGCGAGAAGACCTACGACTCAAGCATCGTTGCTCGCGAGCTCAAATCGTGGTAGAGGCAGTTGTGAGTTTTCAAATTTAATGAATTTAAATTGTTGCGGCAGTTTACAATATTTTTTTTTTTAATATAAAATATCCAAAAACCTTACCTTAAAAACGTTTTCTTATTAAAAAAAAAAAACTATTGCAAAGTAATGCTCTGGGCGATAATTGCCACCGGCAATGACATGGCCGCCTAAGCCGAGTCCAACAAAGTTCGTCAGCCGTTTCTCTTCTCTACCAAGTGCCGCCAATTGGAAATGCCAAGTGAAACCAAGTCCTTCTCCGCCTTGGCCTTTCCACGTCAGAGGAGGCGTTCCTCTTCCTCTGTTACCAACATATAGTGAAATTTTTTTCGACGAGAGAGGGCTTTACTTCTCAATTTCCTACTTAGTCCAAAGGGTTCTTGATGGTTAGAATGATTCTCCGTTGGATTTCAAAGGCGGACATTATTATTGTTGTCAATGCTTGTTTCTACACTGAGGGGAAAAAATATTAAAATCAAATAGAAACGTAATTGATCAGAATATAAATGTCAACGAAAGTACTATACATTGGTAAATATTCAATTCAATTACGCGCATATTAAAATGACCGCGTTCGTACTGAAAAAGCATCCGTGAAGTGAAAACTAAACTAGACAAAAACTAAAAAAAAATATTTAATTTGCATGTTGCCTGCAGTGGAGTTCGAAACTTGACCATCTCTGGATATCAACAAATTGTGGCAAGCATCTTTGCGAGCTCAGCTACACACAGGCATACAAACTTGCTTTCAAATGTTGAATTTCCATCAACACCACATCACGCGATTTGTACGGATATACATATACTATGTATGTATGAGTGTATTGTCACCGCTCTGAGAACGGCGCTCTGCATGCTTGGGGTGTGTACACTTACATATACATACTCAGATGTGAACAGTCAAATACGTGCGTAATAAATTTTGTATGAAAATATTATTTTTAAATACGAACATTTTAAAACGATAATCAAATAAAAAGTATTCATTTTTACTATGCATTATTTCCCTCAGTGTAAGACGGAGCTCAGACAGGGAAACTTTTGCCGCTGCAGCTCGTTACTTGTATGAGAGGGAGCGACGAGAAAAGGGGAAGGGCTTGGGCAACACGCTTTTTGCTCTCGTTCGTCTGAGTAATTCAAGTTGGCGGTTTACAGCTGACAACAACAATTGTATATAAAAGAGTTGCTCTGTGTGAATACGAAGGGCAACACCAAAAGAGAACTTGCCACAAATGAGCAATAAAAGTTTATCTGTGTGAACCCAGTCTAAATAAACGAAGTCGTATACTTTTCTAAATGTATAACCATTAACGCTTATGCTCTGACAGATTT